GGGTTTGAATAAAGTCCAGGAGTTGGTGATGGACAAGGAGGCCTGGTGTGCTGCGGATCATGGGGTTGCAAAGAGTCGGACACGACTGAGCGACTGAACTGAACTGATGGTCTAATTTTAAACATAAATATCATGATAACAATGAATAAAGACAATAGTGTTGATAGAGTTTCTCAACTCTCTGGGGTTAAGAATCAATTTACATTTTCATTACATTGCAAACTAATCAATGACCCCACTGTGCATGTCTGGTGTGTGGCTCAGCCACATGCACCTCCCCTGCAACTGTGACATGCTGGTCTCTGGTCTGTTCAAGATCCCACCCATCCCAAGTGTGGATGTCACAGCAATAGAAGATGGTTGTGAGTTTCTAGCTTTCTTAAAACTCCTGTACTTCTAGCCTGGTTACAAACAGGTTGTGGACTAACATTAGCCCACAGGCCACACTGTGAGTGTCACTGTCATATTTAATCTTGGCAATAACCCTCTGAGAAACATACTACTCCCATCTCAACATTACAAAGAAACTGAGATACAGTGGGCTTCCCAACCTTAAGAGCCCATGATTAGCAGGTGGCAGAACTTGAATCCAAACCTAGTCAGTGCCCAGAGGAGTCAGTATTTGTCCCTGGAAGGCTGACTCCAGAGCCTGTGCTCCTACGCATGTACTTGTGTAATTTAACTACACGTGAATGAGGAACAGTTTGGTTTAGGTCATTAGATGAGGATCTCCTCAAATACACCATCTACAGTCTACAAACCTTCATGCACACCCATTCTGCTTTCCTCTCCTGGTGATTAGGAATCACCAAGGTTAGTGAGTCCACCCTGTGTCTTTGATTGTTCTTGGTCCATCCATCATCCCAAAGCAATGGTCCAAGGACAGGGACTGTATTCATTTCTCAGATGAAGGAAGTGAGATTCAAAGAGGTTGAAACACTTAGCCAAGCATGTAACTATGGCTATATGGATATAAGGTGACCAGAGCCCATTTTGTCAAGGATGATGCCAGTTGATTGTCCTGGCACCTTGGCTGGTTACTGCTTTCCTTTAACTATCAGGTATTCCACTCTGGACAGTACATTCTTTGGACATTCACGCTGCTATTGAGTAGTAGAGAAAGAACTGACAGATCAGTGTGACTGATTTTGACGCCAGGGCTTTCTGTTATCCTAGGCTACCTTAGAATTTCAAAATTATGAAGTTGAGAAGATTTATCCTCAGTAATCAATTCATCCAGCAAACATTTACTGTAAGGCACCACACCTCTTATGTGACAGACACGGTGCTGAAAGATGTAATTAAAAAATGAATAGGGCACAGTTCCAAGTTTTTTTCTCATGTGGTTTAGTGAGAAGACAGACCACATATGAATACTCATAGTCAGCGAAGGCTACATAATTTACAGGACCCAGAGCAAAATGGAAAGAACAGAGTCCCTTGTTTAAAAAACAAGTATCTCAAGATGGTGACAACAGGACACTAACCAAGCATGGTTCAGTTTAGCAGACGAGAGGTGCACAGGGTCCGACAGAAATCCGAGTTACCTAGGATGATGACTGATCTTAAGGAGACTTTCTGGAAGAGGTGACAACTGGGCTGACCCTAGAGAATGAGGATATCTCCCCGAGATGGAACTTCTCTGCTTTTTAGACCATATGTTATTGAGGAGAATGACTAAGTCATCATTTTGACTTAAATGTTAAGTCACCAGCAGTTTTCTGTGACTGTACATCCTCCTCACCAACCACTGGACTGTGACACATGCCCGGGGGGACATGGAGATGTGCTGTCCTGACCTCCCTTCAAGGACTCATTGCCCAGCTGCTGGAAGTGCTGCCAGTGGGCAACCTTAAACCACCAGCCCCTCTGGGGGCAGCCTCTGCGCAATGACCCATCCAGGTAGAGGTAAATAGGCCTGGTCATTGGACGTGTCAGGACAACTCTGAAGAGCCATCTTCACTTCAGAGCTCCCACAGGGTCATCTAAGGTCACCTGGCCAGTGTTCCAGCTTGAATTTTTCTTCTGCTCCATCCCTCCCGATTCCACCAGCGCTGATGTTAGGGGCACCCGTAATAAACATACCAGTACTAAACTCCATCTGAGTGCAACCCAGAGAACCAATCTGCAACCAGTACAAAAAAAATCCCAGTATTTGGGGAGGATTTTTATTTGAAAATTATTATGTATTTACATACTTGTAACATCTTAAAATCCCAAAATAGGATACAGAGGGGTGGAAACAAGGACTTTGTGTCACATATGGTTCTTCTTTGGCTCAAAATTCTTAATTTGATAAGGATGAAAGCACATATGCCACAAAGTTTGTGAATATTAATCTATGAATTTACTGAAATTTGCTAATCTTTTTAAAAATTTGTTGTTTTTGAGGGATGATGAAGTCTGTAACTTTTTAATGGAGGATATAAAATGGGATAGACTAGAGATTTCTTCAAGAAAATAAAGAGAAACCGAGGGAACACTTCATGCAAAAATGGGCACAATAAATGACAGAAATGGTATAGACCTAACAGAAGCAGAAGATATTAAGAAGATGTGTCAAGAATACATAGAACTATAAAACATATCTTCATGACCCAGATAACCATGATGGTGTGATCACTCACCTAGAGCCAGACATCTTGGAAAGAGAAGTCAAGTGAGCCTTGACTTCCTAAGGATGCTTCCTTAGGAAGCATCACTATGAACAAAGCTACAAGAGGTGATGGAATTCTAATTGAGCTATTTCAAATCCTAAAAGATGATGCTGTAAAAGTGCTGCACTCAATATGCCAGCAAATTTGGAAAACTCAGCAGTGGCCACAGGATTGGCAAGGTCAGTTTTCATTCCAATGCCAAAGAAAGGCAATGCCAAAGAATGCTCAAACTACTGCACAACTGCACTCATCTCGCACACTAGCAAAGTAATGCTAGCCAGGTTTCTGCAAGCCAGGCTTCAACAGTAGATGAACCATGAACTTCCAGATGTTCAAGCTGGATTTATGAGAGGCAGAGGAACCAGAGATCAAATTACAAACATCCACTGGATCATCAAAAAAGCAAGTTACAGAAAAACATATACTTCTGCTTTATTGACTACGCCAAAGCCTTTGACTGTGTACATAACAAAATGTGGCAAATTCTTAAAGAGATGGGAATATCAGGCCACCTTACCTGCCTCCTGAGAAATCTGTATGCAGGTCAAGAAGCAACAGTTAGAACTGGACATGGCACAACAGACTGGTTCCAAGTCAGTAAAGGAGTATGTCAAGGCTGTATATTGTGACCCTGCTTATTTAACTTATATGCAGAATAGATCATACTAAATGCTGGGCTGGAAGAAGCACAAGCTGGAATCAAGATTGCTGGGAGAAATATCAATAATCTCAGATATGCAGATGACACCATCCTTATGGCAGAAAGTGAAGAACTAAAGAGCCTCTTGACTAAAGTGAAAGAGGAGAGTGAAAAAGTTGGATTAAAACTCAACATTCAGAAAACTAAGATCATGGCATCCAGTCCCTTCGTTTCATGGCAAATAGAAGGGGAAACAATGGAAATAGTGAGACTTTATTTCTTGGGACTGCAGCCACGAAATTAAAGACACTTGCTCCTTGGAAGAAAAGCTATGACCAAGCTAGACAGCATATTAAAAAGCAGAGACATTACTTTGCAACAAAAGTCTGTCTAGTCAAAGCTCTGGTTTTTCCAGTAGTCATGTATGGATGTGAGAGTTATACTATTGAGAAAGCTGACCACCAAATAATTGATGCTTTTGAACTGTGGTTTTGGTGAACTCTTGAGAGTCCCTTGGACTGCAAGATCAAACCAGTCAATCCTCGAGAAATCAGTCCTGAGTATTCATTGGCAGGACTGATGCTGAAGCTGAAACTCCAATACTTAGCCCACCTGATGTGAAGAACTGACTCCCTGAAAAAGACCCTGATGCTGGGAAAGACTGAAGGCAGAAAGAGAAGGGGATGACAGAGGATGAGATGGTTGGATGGCATCACTGACTTGATGGACATGAGTTTGAGTAAACTCCGGGAGTTGGTGATGGACAGAGAAGCCTTGTGTGCTGCAGTACATTGGGTTGCAAAAAGTCAGACACAACTGAGCAACTGAACTGAACCGATTTCCTTTAGTAACACATATTGTACTTATTCAGTTTCAATAAATGAACTTTGAAGAATTAGGTAATTTGGAGACTAAAATGGGTTGATTATACAAACATGGATTTTGGAATTTTGTTTTGAATTTGAACTTTATTGGTTTTCCTCATTCCAAGTGAAAAATTTCCTTGATTTTAATAAAAGCTCATCCGTTCCCCATTAGTGAAATTACAAAGACACTTTCTCTTGAGATGTGGTATCCAGAATGTCATACACATTTCTAGGTAAAGATGTATTGAGAAAATATTACAAAATAGAATCATTGTGAAAGCTTGACTTACAAACCCAGGTGCTGAATCTAACACACTCAAGTCCTAAGATTCTGAACATCATTAAACTTCTCAGAATTCGATATGAAACAAATACTCAGATTTGAGAAGAGATGCTTCTAATATCTCTAGACAAACTATCCGAAAGAAAAACCCAGATTTTCATCAATTTACATAAGGTCATATGTACCTTATGTAAAGGTACATATTAACATTTAACTCACCAAATCATCATAATACTTGGTCTAAATCACTGCCTTGTGGAATTGACTTCAATCATTTCTTCAGAAAACACATTTATGCTGTTATAGAAAGCAGTTAGCATTAGACTGATGTGCTTGTATCTTTCCTACAAGTGGGGATTAAAAAGGAGGGTGGGAGGAAACTTTTGGAGGTGATCAATGTGTTTATGGCATAGATGGTGGGGCTGATTTCATTGAGTGTGTACTATCTTCAAACTCTTCAAGTTGTTTACATTAAATATGTACAACTTTTGGTATGTCAATCATAACCTCAATAAAGTGGTTAAAAAAATAAATAAAATCCAGAACCATTTGGATAGAATTGGTGAGACAAAGTAGGATTTATTTTGGTTATTTAGACAAAATACAGACCTTGAACTCTGTTTACCAAGAGCTTCACTTGAAGCCATTTGCTATGGGCTAGAAGACAACCTTTTAACAACTCAGCAAAAATAACTCCTCAGGTATAGCTTATTCACCTTTAGATGACTGGACCGCTGCTTTTGAATGAGATTCTACAAGAAAAATGAGGCCAAGAACTTTCTTTTTACTTAACTCAATTATGAATTATGACATGCAATAGTGAGGAAAATAAAATGAAGAGCCCAACCAATATTCACCTAACCTCCAGCCAACAAGAGAATATTTTAAGTAACTCAGAAGCTGATTTTAAACACTATGATTTGATTGTAACTATGTCCGAACTTTGTGTAAAGGGAATCATAAATATTCTTTGGGGTCAGGCTTAAGTTTGTTTTGCACCTGGGTTGTTGATGTTCAACTGCTATCATTGCTACGGGATATGCTATTGCATCACAGTCCATTTTCCTTCTGCTGTTGATTAGCATGTGGATAATGTCTAGTTTGTGGCTACTGGGAATTAGGTTTCCAAGAACATCTGTGAACAAGTGTATATCACTTGTACTCTGGAGCAGAATTAATAGATCTGAGGGTGTGCAGTATGAGTAAATGCTGTCAAATTGTTTTCCAAAGTTTTTTGTCAACATATACTTTTTTGCACATGCAGAAGTGCACAAGAGTTCCCACTGCTTCATCGGCACTAATTCTTATTCTCAACCTTTTTAATTTTAGCTACTTTACTGGGTGTTTCGCGGTATCTCATTGTGGTTTTAATTCACATTTCCTTGGTAACTAATGAGACTGAACCCTTGTGCAGTTATGGCCATTTGGATATTCTCTTTTATGAAGGGCCTATTTGAGTCTCTTGTCCATTTCTTGGGCTTTCTGTGTTTTTCTTAACGAGTTTTAGGAGTTCTTTATTGCCTGTGTTATTGGTTCTCAGACTTCGGACTGCATCACAATCACCCTTAGGCCTTGGTAAGGCAACGGGGGACCAGTGGTCCCCACCACCAGTGTTTCTGATTCAGTAGATATGGGACACAAGAATCAGCGTTTCTAATGATTCCCAGGTGATGCTGCTGCTGCTGGCCTAATGACCACACTTTGAGAACATACGTCCTGTAGGTGCTTTAAATGTAGCAGCAGTAGAGGTTTCTCGCTTGTCTGGGGCAAAAATCAAAACCCCAAACTCCCAACAATTTAATACTTGATTTAATCCTGGGACCTTCCCTTAATGGAAGGGGTACAGCTGGGCTTAGTTCAGTAGTAACGATTTAAATCAGTGACACCCACCTCTCTGCATAGAGCATCTGGTGTACCTTTAGCCAAGAGTTGGGAATGGATCTCAAGGAAAATGGATCTCACATTAGCTTTCAATAGCAAGGACATGAGCCAGACCTCTAAAAATGAAAACACAGATCTCTGGAGATGAAAACATTTATTTCGACTAAATTTTATAAGAACCATGACTACTACATAATTATTGGACTAAACATTAACTGTTGAACATTATCTCTAAATACAAACTACACTCAATGTATTTGGGTAGTTTGCCGAGTATGTGGTTTTTAAGGCTTGATTCTATTCTTGATTCTATCTGTTTCTCTCTGGTAAAGAGTCCAAATACCAGCTATCAGAAGGCATATTATATATAAACATATGCAATATGAGCATAGCTATGCCTAATTGCGAGGTCATGAGAGTACACTTAAAATCAGGGCAGTAACTTTAGTAACTTGAACTCAATACACCATACCCACCACCACTAAGAAAAGCTAAGGACCTACAGCTCAAATCAAGTACTGCAGGCCCTAGAAGTATTGTGGTTTGTTGATCTACTGATCTGAAAGATCTAGACAAAGTGCAATTAGTGGTCATAAGTAAACTAACCTGGACAGGCTCATGAAAGTGAACCTTCCTGATGCATCCTGAGAACATAGGGCATAAACATAGTCAACAACATAGCAACAGCTCTCTATTTTTCTCACACAGTCAGGAGAACCCATGCATGTAATTTAGACAGGATTTCAATGACGGCTAAACCAAAAGGCTTATGTCAGCAGAGGGTCAATCGTCATGAGAAATCCAGATTAAATCACCACTACATACTCAGGAAAGCAGCATGGCCTTTTCGAAAATATCACCAGGCTGAATCTAAAACTGCAACAGGTCTATCAAGTCAGAGCCATGGACTCTAGAAGCTGATCAATGATCACTCACATGTCGATCATTATCAAATCCCCATAGAATGGCAATTTTCTGAAAGCATTCCTTTCTCTTCCACCCTCTTTCAGAAGATAGAATGAAATACTGACCTTCACGTATTTTAACCATTTATCTTGGGGGGTGGGGAGGAGGGGCTCTCCAATGTAATGCCTCATATTAATTTCAACTAAAGTGTATTTTTTGCTTTCCCTATTTTGTACTAGCTTAACCAGAGGTCTTTGGCGGGGAATAGGGGATCCTACTTATGTTAAAGAAAGTGGTAAGGCAAAATGGCAACTTCCAGAGTCTTCAAGTAAACAGAATCCCTGACTGGAAAGGAATATGTAAGTTGGGGACGGTAAAAAACATCTATGAAAACTTTGTCTTACACCTTAGAAAATGTGCTTTGGCTCTGAAGTCTCTTTAAGGCACGAAACCTGGTAGACAGCTTTTATTGGTGGCCTGTACCTCTGATTTAGATAAGACAAAAATACTTTTAACATATAAATAACAATAATAATGTTGTTAAGAGCCTGAAACCACTGGGTGAAGTTGCAGGAAAAAATCCAAATGGACTAACATATTCTATGTGTAAATATCTGCTACTGGTATAAAAATAAGTAAAATGTACTTTACACAGTGCAAAAACTATTGGAAAAATGCCTCTGGAACAGACTTGACGTCATAGTAGAATCACAGTGCCGTCTCAAAAATTGTTAAGGCTGAGGGCTGTCCACTGGAAGCGTTCATAACCACATGGCCATTGTGAGTAATATCTGGATAATTCCTCTTGAAGTACACCTGAAAAAAAAGGACAGGTATAAAAACATGTTTAAAAGTTTTCAAGTCCTCCTCCCTAAGGTAGTGCATTTCTCTGTTTGCTTTTCATATGAAGCAATCAATCATATCACTAGTGGAGACACAATATTAAAAACCAGGGATGTTATTTATTCTATGGAGGAAGTAGCCCCCATTAAAACCCTCACTGGAGCTGGGCTTAATGCCAAACAACCTGTAGATCCACTACAGTTCTGATCATCCTGATCCACAGATATGCTTTATCAGTACATTAAATTGATAAGCAAAAATCATCTTACTGACTCAAAGCTTGGGGATAAATTAAAAACAGGGTGACAAAGAGGCTGGGAAATCTAGCGTCTACACGAGGCTTTCTCATTTTCACACATAAAATGAGCACAATCGATTTGGATGTTAATATCAGGTTGTAATCCCTATATTTTATAAACTCTGATTGACAAGCATTGAAACGCAGGCGTATATGTATGAAATATCCTGGCGTTTAATTTGTGTGGCAAAGCAGTTATAGGGCCTATAGAAATGTGATCTGTGGATAGTGGGTCCCAAGAATGAAAAGAGAATCAAAAGCTTTAACAATGACTCAACCAAGCAACTTCTCTAAAATGTAAGATGATACCAAATAATACGACAGTTCTTTGCCAGGCCTTTGAGTTCTTGAATTCTACCAATTTCTAGCTGAACTGGAAGAGATACAGGTTTTCTGATAAATGTATAATCAGAACACAAAGGAAATGAAACGCTGTCAAGCTTCTCTGTTCCACAATCATCACTTTTTAGTAGCTGTATCGTATCTTGGTTCCTTGACGGATACACATAACAAAATGAAATAATGTCAAGACTTGTGAGCTCTTATCTCCAAATGTGTTTAGGTGGAAAAAGGGCTTCAAAAGTAATTTTTTTCCTCCAAGGAAGAATGTGAAAAGTTTTGTTTAAGTCTTTAAAACAGAAAATGTACCATCTATCCGAGGCTGACTCATGTCACATGCTGGGTCGCTTAGACACATGATTCTTACAAAACCTCACTCTAAGTCCATTTGTGGATACTGTCAACAAAGTTATCACCAGAGATAGTGGGCTTCATATTTGAAACAGAAAAGCTCTGAGACACCTACCTACTTTCTTATTAGGTGTACTTTCTTTTTCTCTTATTGCCTGCATACTTGCTAATCGCAAAACCACACTGCATAAGAAATGCTCTATATTAAAATGTCACTTGAGGAGAAAAAGAAGAAATTCTCCAAGAATGCTTGGATCCCACTGGGTAAAATCTGAAGCTATTTCCATTATACTGTAAGCATCTAAAAGTAAGGGTCTTGGGGGAGCTAACTGCATTTCATCTTCCTCCTCAATTTTTAAAAAAATTGCCACACTTGAGTTGTTATGTATTTATGTATGATGCTGTTAGTGAAACTGAAAACAGTACTCCCTCAAAGAAAATTAATTTCAATTTCTAATGCTTGATATACCACCCCATCAACTGGTTCTTTTCTCCATACCACTTGTCAATGTCACTTTTTATTAAAAAATTTTATTATTAACAATTTTTAACCAAAATGGCCATTTCATGGTCTAAAATACTTAAAACTAAATGAAAACAAGCTTCCTGTGCACATAACCTCCTTGATTCGACCTTTCATCTGTTACCCTGGTGTAGCCCACACTTTGACAGCAGGAGAGAGAGAAGGCATCTTTTTCACAGGGCAGGTTATGAAGGGAGCTGAGATAGCTGAACACTTGTTAGCAGAGTCCTTGTGGGTGGGCTGAGCCTTGGATGCAGAAGCCCAGTCTCACCTCTCTCTCTCCTGGGACCACTGCTGACCCTGGAAAAATCATTTCAGCTCTCTCCGCATCGGATGCCTGATTTGTGAAATGAGACAACGACCTACCTCATATGAACTAATTGACGGCTACAAACTGAGGATGAAAACAGGGTGAGCTAAATGTTGGGTGTGACTACGAAGGTGCTCAGAGACAGGGCCGCTAAGCCCACGGAAAGTAGCAGCATCATCTGGTTTGAAGAATGAAAACAAAACATCTAGGAGTCTCTTGGTGAATCTTTTGATTTTATCATTACAGTAGGGCAGGCTAGCAGTTAATACACAGTTGGATCAATAAACATAGTAGCCCAAGAGGCAGTAACCCAGGGCTTCCCTCATAGCTCAGCTGGTAAAGAATCTCCTGCAATGCAGGAGACCCTGGTGCAATTCCTGGGTCTTGAAGATCCTCTGGAGAAGGGAAAGGCTACCCACCCCAGTATTCTTGGGATTCCCTAGTGGCTCAGACTGTAAAGAATCTGCCTGCAATGCAGGAGACCTGGGCTTGATTCTGGGTTTTGAAGATCCCCTGGAGAAGGGAAAGGGTACTCACTCCAGTATTCTGGCCTGGAGAATTCCATGAGGTGATAAAGAGTCAGACAGGACTGAAAAACTTTCACTTTCAGGAGGCAGAATGGGAATTAAAAGACTTAACACTTTCTAACCTGTGACTTTGAGAAGTTACTTAGGCCCTATTGCCTCAATTTCTTGATCTGAGGAAAAACACTACCAGCTCAAAATGGTTTTAATGAAGATTAAAAAGACACAATGCCCCCCAAAAAGTTCAAATTCAGGGCAAGCAAAACGTTAAGACCAGTGAGTGTTGGGTTTCTTGAGACTTTTCATGTCCTGCTCAGGTTTGGTTAATTAGAGATCCTCCAATTTACGTTGAAACAGTATTTCAACTCCAACTTGTAAACAAAGCTATAAACTCTCCCATGCATGGCTAAAGGTCAGCAATGGATGGTTCATAAATGTAGAGTTATGAGTCAAGACTCTGTCCATTCATTCTGACTGAACCACATGGCCTTAGTTTAACCTCAGCAACCCTCTAACTCCACGTCTTTAAGTCAGGTCTAACGTTAGTACACATCCTGGCAGGTGTATTATCAAAGATATCTAGAGAATTAGAGAGGATTTCTTCTTTTCATTTAACACAATTTTGGATTTCCTCTCATCCTCTCAGAAATCACTCTCAGAAGCCAGGACACTGGAGATTAAAAAGTAAGCCCAATATATGATGAAATCAGGAATGATTTGAAATCACAAATGACAAAATATCTGAATGAATTGCCTTATGCAAAGGGATCCAATGGGCTGCAGCCAGAGAGAAGGTACGTAAAGAGAGCAGATCTGAGAAATGATGCGAGAGCAGCTCTCTAACTACCTGGTGAATGCTAAGGTGCCAATGAGGAATCATAGAAAATCACTGTCTGCCTAAAGCATGTCCTAGGTGAGGTCCTAGGACAAGACAGATTCTGAAATACAATCAGCATTGTAGCTGCCCAACTCTACAGGTTAGGGAAAAGTTCAGGCTAAATAAATATGTACTCTCAGTTTCTCTGTCTCTCTAGCACAGACATGCTCACTCACTCTCTTAATCTGAGTCATGGGGAACGCTTCTATATTTTTAACAGAGGGAATTCCCTTAAGTCTGAAATGATGCACTAGACACAAGTATCCAGCAAATATATGGTCTTAAAAATAACAGAATTAAAAAGTGAGCAGTAGGAATAATAATAAATAAAAGGTAATATAATCTGTAAAACAGAAAAAAAAGGAAAAGGAACAGGATAAGCATATGATGGATGAAAGAAATACTCACTGAACAGACAAATATTATGAAAAAATAATATACTGAAAGAAAATGTAGTAGGATAATCAACCTGTAAACAACAGAGATCTGAGTACAATAAAACACACAATAGTAACAAAAGATGAAACAACAAAGTGAAAGGGAAGATAAAGTAGGGAATGGAAAATTGGGGCTCTGTAACAACCTAGAGGGGTGGGATGGGAAGGGAGGTGGGAGGAAGGCTCAAGAGGGAGAAGACCTATGTAAACCTATAGCTGATTCATGTTGATGTTTTGGAGGAACCAACACAATACTGTAAAGCAATTATCCTTCAATTAAAAATAAGTTTAGATAAGAGAAAGCAAAAAAAAAAGAAAAACAAAAACGATAAATACTTTTTAGCCATTAAAAGAATGAGATAACTATACACATAGACAGTAATATTAAATGAAAAAAGGGATAGCTATCATCGTGCTTAAAAACAGGAAGGCCACATATGCACAAGTTCTTACTGATACACAGAACAAGTCAACAGAATAGTCAAAAATGGTACTGGGGCTCCACCCTGGGGGAGGAGCCCTGTAATGACAGGAATGGCAAAGTGACTTTTTAATTTATGAAGTGATTTTATAAATAAAATTTTAAAACCTATTATAAAACATAAGGTTTTTGAATTTTGTAGCATTAGATATATTATTTCTTTAAAAACTGATTATTAAAAATAAAATTTAATTATTTTCTGATGCTACTCAGAAGAACTGTGGGCACATTTTCTTATTGTTGGGAGGCAAGGGTTCAATATACATCCTTTTAAAAAGTGATCCCACTTTAGCGCTTAAGCATCTGCTCTCTCATCTGATCCCTGTAATAAGGGAAGAAGCCGGCAGGGCTGTAATCCCTGCTCTACACACAGGTGAGGACCTGAGGCTCAGAGACCTTGGGGGACACAAAGCCACATGGCTGCTAAGTGCCAACTCCATCTGTTCAGACTGGTCCAGGCTCCAAGATCTAGGATATGACGTTTCATAACTTTGGGTCGTATCTGGTGATAACATGAATAGACAAAATGAAATTTGTTACATACTGGGAACACAGAAACTTCAAAAAACAAAATGAGAAAAAAAGAAACAAACCCTCAATCAGGTCTGCTTCATCACAGAAGAAAATGAATGACAGGCAATAATCCTTTGTTATGTGATGAACTGGGTCCCCTCCAACTTTACATGTTGAAGTCCTAAATCCGCCAGTCCCCCAGAATGTCATTTTATTTGGAGAAAGGGTCTTTAAAGGGGTGATTCAGGTATAATGAAGTCATACAGGCGTGTCCTAATGTAACAGACTGCAGTCCTTATAAGAGGAGATCAGGACACAGGCACACAGAGGGAAGACCATGTGAGGACGGAGAGAAGACGGTATCTCCAAACCAAGGAGAGAAACCTCAGGGGAAGTCACCCCTGCCCTCAAACTTCCAGCCCCCAGGGCTGGGAGGAAAGAAGGTTCTACTCTGTGGTTCTCTGTATCACAATCCTAGCAAGCTAATGTGCCAGTCAAGTTTATGTAGCTAATAGGTACTTTCTTTACTATTTTATGGATCATCTAAAAGGGTCAATCGGTGATTCAGCTCGCCTGTACCAACATTTTCAGATGATCAACAATGAAGTCAAAAAAACGTGACTTGGAAGAATCCTTTCGCAGATGTTGAGTTTTGTTTTCAAATGAATGAATTCTGTTAGAGTGAAAAGCTTGTTGACTCAGGCTAATCCTCCGGTGTTACAGCTCTGAAGTGTGCATTGATTTCTGATGCTTTTACATATTAAAAGTTGACAATCTGACAGCCTGTTCTCTTACGAGGACCAGGTATACGCAGAAATGATGTCAAGAAAATACTCAACTCGGATGGGAATCAGGATATGTATTTATGTCTTTCTGTAGAAAGTGTTAGTCACTCAGTCAGGTCCAACTCTTTAGGAACCCCATGGACTACAGCCTGCCAGGCTCCTCTGTCTATGGAATTCTCCAGGCAAGAAAACAGGAGTGGGTTACCAAGTTCTTCTCCAGGGGATCTTCCCAACCCAGGGATTGAACCTGGGTCTCCTGCATTGGGGGCAGATTCTTTACCATCTGAGGCACCAGGAAAGTGGTGTCTTTCTGTAAAGGTGACCGAAATTCAATGTTCTGCCATGCTATATGAACCCGGTATGATGGCCCCACCTTGGCTACCACGTGGCAGGAGGAGCAGTGTTCTCAGATTTGACACAGAACACAGCATCTAGGGCTGCACTCAGCCTCCCTCAGCAACGCCCTATGTTCCCTGGACCAGCTCTGTGACCTTGGACGGGCACTTAACCCAATCTCATCATCTACGACCTGGCATAAAAAGTAACCATCATCAGGATTAAGTGAAACCATACATGTGCAAACTCTATAAAATAAATTATAAAAAAACTATACAAACATAACTTACCATTAATACTAAGTAGGTGCAGGAATACTAAACGAGGAATCTCTAATTCCTCTAAGGAGTACAAATGAGGAATCTCTAAGACTTCTAATTCTATGACCCATGTCTATTTTTGTATCTATGTTACACTTGGCTTAAAACATTTACTGGAAGAAAAGATTTATAATTCTGTGTGCTGCAAATTAGCATATCACTACTTGCATTATACACATAAACACACACAGACACTTTCCTTTTAAGGGCTCTTAGCTTTCTCATCGAGAAAATGAAGGTGTTGAACACTATTATGTTATGTACCTATCTGAAGTTTCTAACTCTCATTGATCAATTGATAATATTTAATGATAAACTACTTTTAAAGTGAAGACTTTGACTCATAGATGGGGACACATCTTTTGATGTGAGATGCCTAAAGTCAAAGAAAAAGGGGTTTGTGAGATTCCTGACTGTTTTGTGACGAGATTATACAGGGAATCCCAGAAGGATGATGGGATCTTAGGCAGAAAGTTCTAACTGGGAGACACTCTAGTGGATGAAAGTGTTTTGTGACATGAAATTTCAGAGATAAGAAAATATAGCACTCCGAGTACAGCTTCTCTATATTTGCATACAATACAAGTAATTAGGAAAAGTTCAGAATACAGTCTCTGTTGTCCCCAAACTCTTCAGCCAGCTTGGTGACCCTGCCTAGGTACTAGTGTTCATTTCCAAGAGGATGAATGAGATAAAACAATGACAGAATTCAGTCCACAGTGTGAAGGCAATGTGAATCCTGACTTATCCTGATGACAATTTCATCTTCTAGAAGGAAAAGGAAGCATGGGGTGGGGAGGTAGGGGGTGGGAGGGTGGCGGGGCAAATGGACTTAATTCCAAACACTGAAGAATCAGGAAGAAAGTGACATACCATGGAGGAGTTTCCCTTACAGATTAGAAAACAGAAGTGATCCACACATTTCCCTGGTAAATCTTTCTATACTGATAAACGACATTCCATTTTTTCCTCCTCCAACGCTCAAATTTCCAGGATATTCCTCAACAGCACTTGCATCACAAATGTGCTGAGCACCAATCAGAATGAATGTAAAGGGCCTGCAAAATGAGACTATTCTGTGTTCCCTGAGAATCTGAACCCAGAGTCCCAATGTGCGGCCAGTTCAATCAGAAATCTCACTTGTGTGTGCACCTCCTGACCCCTGCCCCACCTCTGCTGTAGATTCTCAGCAGCCCTGTCTTCCATCTCTAAAGTATTCTTAAGACCTAGTCATGAAGCTTTGTCTCTGGAGGCTTGTAATTGAAAAGGGCACAGAGTGCTTGTTACCAGACCCCTGGTGCCAGAGCATTTGAGGAGTGAACCATGGAGACGAACTTTAATTACAACTCCCCGCAGTGGGCTCACCTGTTTTGCTGTTTCAGTGAGGGCAGCGGCCTCAGCCTTGCCCAGTTGTTGCACCATCTTATAAAATAGGCTGTCTCTATTTTGCAGCAAAACATATGGCTCATCATATTCTTTCAGTCTCCCTGAATCCAAAACCTGTAGATCAGCAGAAAGAAAGCATTAGCACACAATGTTTTGCAGTAACGTATTATAATGCAGACAATATTTCGGAAAGGGGTAGGACAGGGAGAACAGAGAGTCTGTTTGGGTGGTAGGACTGGCTGGTGTTTAAATGGTTTGATTACCCTGTTTTACTAGGCAGACAAAGGCCTAACCCGACCTTTTATTATTATAATGTTAAAGGAAGAAAATGAAAGTTTCAGACTATGATTACTTGCACTCGGCATATTATATTCTGCCTCATGGGGTTGTTATCATTAGTAAGTGCTTTTAGCTCTCAGACTCTGAGCTTTGAAGGCTGTTTATACAGATACACAGAGTTGGAAAATTTCTTGATTCAAGAAAATCAAACTCAATCTAGCTACAAAGTAGGTTGATATCATATAAAATGATGGCAGTGACCTGACAGCAAATTAATTCCAAGTTGGTTTCACAGAATCCGAGCAACATTTGAGGCCAGAAACTAAATGCTTCTGGAATTTCTTTAGGTTCCTGGAATATTTCAGGTGCTGACTTTGGCTGTAGCTTATTGCTCTGAGTGAAAGGCTGGCAAAAAGAGCTGCTACCTCAACAGCTTCAGCTGAATTGCTCAGCACAGAAACATATCTCTAGAAATCCAATTTTCTCTTTGGATGAGACTAAAGAAGCAATTAAGAAACTGAGCTCCAAATTCCAGTCATCACTGCATGCACAGCACATGAGGACAACCAAATCCGAATTCCCAAGCATCTGAATTTGTTGTCGCAAATTATCTTTCCTTGCTTCTTGTTCTTTCTTCAGTTGCCTGCCTTTCAGGCATTTTATTGCTCATTAATATGTCCACTAATTAGAAACTGAAAGGTAGAGGAAGGGGCTCTTAACTCTGCCTTTCTGCTTATTAGTGGCTTTGCTTAATAGTTTCAGAGGGAAGGAAGAGTCTGAAGCCATTGGCCCAAATGACGTACCTAGGAAAACAGTTCTGATGTTAAGTGGTACTTAGTTCTTCATTTAGGTCATATTTAGAGTAAATGCATCTTCAGAGAATATGCTGAGACGCTAAGCAGGACACAGGTTGTTTTTCCACATCTAGGTATTGCAGTTAACTCTGTCCCAGGGTACTTTATTAAATCTCATAAAGGCCATTTTCCTGTTAAACTTTTGTTTACTACTGGGAATCCCTGCTAAGAGCAAGCCTCACAAGAGTTCAAAAATAAATGAATCTGTTACATCTACATAATTATTAAAATGTCCTATAATTTGACATGCCAATTTATATACCCTGAATGTGTAATTTTACTTAAGTATAGCATTATAGAGCATAACCATTCTTCCTGATGCTGAAGAAACAAAATGCAATTTTAAAACATAGGTCTCTCTCATGCCAGAGACTAAGTATACATATCAAATTACTTCATACAATGAAGAGCTTCACATTCTTCAAAAGCCACAACTTTTAAAAATCACCACCTCTGAGTTGGTAGAAATGAGTTCTCTGACTATAAAAACTGTATATTTTTCAATGGAAATCAGTAATATTAATATTTTTCAAATTTTCTACTTTATTCAAATTTGAATGAATACTAAATCTTTTCATTTTCTTTCATATTGTCTAAAACCCATGATACCACTGAGATAGTAGTTCTCAGCACTGATCAATATCTAAAAAAGGAAAAGGCAGGAAAAAAAGCCATGCAAAAAGCAACAGGATTAACAATATAAAAGGCAGAAAGATCTATTTGACCCTTAAAAGTATTAGCAATGTAATGATCGTGCATAAGGGCAGTTTTTTTTTGTGGGTGGTGACAAATTCAAGTGAACATGCGACAGTCGCTCCTGGTTTTCCAGGAAAACCTTACTAAAACAAGGTTTGAATTGATGAAGAAAAGCAAAGAATATAAAAACCATAAGATTGCCTACAAACAGAAAAGGTGGGATCTGAGTTTCTTGGCTCTTGTTTTTGGTCCTTCATCATAGATTTCCAAAAAATTCTCTAATTCTATTGAACATGGGCAACAATACTGTTTCATATGCTGACTTTGCTCCTGTTACCAGGGGGAATCTGGGGTGATATGAAGACTGGAGTGTGCAAGGATTGGAGGAAAAAGCTGTGCTACTGGCCGAAGACAAAACAGTTCACAAGCAACCAGCTAATCCTAAACACTACAGGAAGGAGCCTTTAATGTAGAGATAGTGCTGAGTCTTAGAAGAAAGAGGATTTCTCATTTGTCTGTCTAGCTCCACTGTTTTTCGACAACAGAGAAAGTAAGGAAGATTACATTAGCTGTCATTATGACTCCATCATGTTTAATAAACTTAAAATTGAGAGAACATCTTTGTAAAATAGAATTCTTAGCCTAACACATTAATGGTGCTTAATGAACCAAAACTGGGTAAATCCCTTTGGAGAGTCAACACATAAACAAAGCTATTAATTAGGTCACAGCTGTTTCCCAACAAGCCTTCTGCTTGATGTACTTACGTAAAGTAAACAAAACCATATCCATCGGTCTTTGTGCAGAAGTATTCACCAGTGCAACAAAATGTGATTATTACACCGTAAGCACTTGTAATTACATGACTTTATGATGACAACACTGTTGGCTCTGCCCTTCATCAGCATCTGTCACTTCCCCAGCCCCTCCCCGACTGAGGCTGGCCTCTCTGGAGCACTGGGCTTTGTAGCAGGTTGACTTGTCTTTATGTCCACATGAAAGCTTTAGGAACACTTTCTGGAAAGGAATACTTTCTGCAAAGGATACAGGTGGGGGCATCCCTCAGAGAATTATGAGGTTCATTTCTAGAACACCATGAAGATGTGAGTATCATGATCAAGTGAGGCACTTTAATATTCTGGTTTCCCAGGGTGTATAGAAGTTATGTTCACACTACACTTAGCCTAGCAAGTCTGCAACGGCATTAAGTCTGCCTTAATTTAAAAATATTTCATTGCCAAAAACCTGCTAACCGTCATTGGGGCCTTCAGGAAGAGAGACTAATAACATCAAAGATCAGTGATCACAGATCACCATAACAAATATGATAGTGAAAAGTAGTGAATATGAAATAGCGCTGACAGTTACCAAAAGGTGACACAGAGACATGGAGAAATAAGCACATGCAATTGGAAAACTCGATAGACTCGATAGACTTTCTCGACTTAGGGTTACCACAGACCATCAATTTGTAAAAACTATAACATCTGGGAAGCACAGTTAAACAAAGTATGCCTATATTTCTAAATCACACAAGAAAAAAACTGTCTCAAAAATGAAAGCTTTGAGAAAGAACATTATCCATGGTGTTTCTTTTTTTGCCAAATGGAAAAGTTGACTGGTCATCAGAAGTTCTAGAACAAAACACAAGGTTTAAATCTGGGGTGGGTGGAGCACAGAGGACAATTCCCCACCTCTGAAGCTGCAGTATGCACATCTCTAGGGTTCCATGAGGTCTAATCCTGCCTTTCCTACCAGAAGAGTCAGCAACTGCAACCAGCTCAGACCAAGATGTAAACAAGTGGCCAAGTTTACATTTCCCCATAGGACCTCCCCGTCACATCACCGATGACCCAACCAGGGAGCCCTAAGCTAAAGGTCACCCAACACAGGAGTGGGAAGGGGAGTTCCACAGTGAAGGGCATGGTCAACCACAGGAAACAAGTCCAGTCATTGCAAAGGTGAGAGGTTTCAAAGAGAACCCTTGTGTTTCCCTTCTCTCTCTTTCTTCCCCATTCAGCCACATGCTCAGTCTCCACACCCAGACACAAGCATCAACGCCTTTCTCTTTCCTCAGATCCCACGTTCAATCCATCACACATTCCCCTTGGCTCCATGTCCTTCTCGATCCCAAATCCAACCATCTCATCATTTCCACTGCTACTACCTTAGCTTAAGCTACCAATTTTAGAAAGAGAGGGCAAAATTATGAGAGCAATGTCTGGAGATCTAACCTAGATAGTTGCTAGCTAACACAATTAGCACAGTGTATCTTTTATTTTTCCATGCCTCCAATTCCTATGTAATAAAATTTCCTAAATTAAATGCTTTTTGTTCAAACGCTTCCTTTTACTCACTAAGCCTTTTCCTCTCAACGACTCCCCTCAGAAAATCTTGTGAATATTCCAAAAGTTGAGAAATTCTCCAACCTAACCTGACAACTTCTAGGCAGTCTAAATGAAAGGCTAATTTTATGATTAAGGGAATCTAAAAATCCAGGAAAAAAATCTGTGACATAGGGGAAATGATTGTGTTCTTGAACAATAAAATTTGAAGCCTCGCCTAGCATTTGAATTATTTTTCTGGTTTTTCATCTTAATGAAAAATAACAATTCAAACAAACTTTTAATATGAAAATATGAAATTACTAGATATATTATTTAATAGCACATTCTAAAAGTGTGGGTCCATATGGAGTTACTTTCAAGAATAAGAAGAAAAACTAACTGGACATTACTATCATGTTTTACATGGAAAGATACATTGAAAAATGGAACATAAGTGGAAATAACTGAAATAACACAGGAGATTGTCTTACCATTATCTTGTCACTATCAATAATAGTATTCAATCTGTGTGCTATGGTTAGCACAGTGCAGTGGGCAAATTTCTCACGGATTTTTTTTTGTATTAACTCATCAGTTCTAGAAACAAAGAAGTTGAATTTATTATTCAGTAAAGACAGAAAGAGCAGACTTCAGAAAAAATTACCATATAATATTTTCATAAGACTTTTAAAAATCGATATTTTAAGACATAATCTTGCTCATCAAAAACTGAGTAGAAAAGTCTCTTTAAAAGACTTTTTATAAAACAATGTAAAACAGTCTTCCTTAGAAATTTCCTGAAACTATCAGGAGCTGCATTAGAAATCAAGCTCTCTTAGGATGCCTCATAACGACACTAACACATATTTTGGTTTCTTTCTCTGTTTTCTAAAATTAATGTGATCAAGAGATAAATGTGGACAAAAGAGAGCACTTAGAACATTTTCAGCAACATTAATTTTTTTTCCTTTTACCACATTTAAATTTCACATTTCAATTTCATGGGAAATTGTACCTTGGATCCACATTGGCCGTGGCTTCGTCAATAATCAATATCCGATTTTTCCTGAGGATAGCCCTGGCAAGGCACACCAGTTGTCTCTGTCCAACACTAAAGTTTGATCCGGATTCTGCTAATTCAGTATCCATTTTACCAGGAAGATCCTCGATGGCTTCCCTCAATTGCACCTGTGGATACAGAAAGAAGAAGGGCATTTCCTAAAGGAACTACTACTAAAGGAGACAAGCTTCTTAGACATTAGTGCTCTGAGGTCATCAGGACTTCTTACAAGTCTTACATGTACAGCCACGTGATGGAGAGCTCCTTCATATCAGCAAGAAAGACAGAGGAGTCAGTGAAGGACAGAAAGGTCTCAGTGACCCATCTCTGCCACAGGACACCTACTGGAAACCTCACCTAGGGATTAGTTCAGAAAGTCTCTCAAAAAATGAAGCTATTTCTCCCAGTGTAATCTAAACAGGATCTTTATAGCTGACTCAAATTTCCCAAACTACATTCTGCAATGGGGTCTGGACTCAACAGAGAGAAAAAAAATTTAATTCCTGCAGGAAGTATGGTTCTCTAAAGACATAATCATATGAAGAATTCATTTTGGAAGGTCTGAAAGTTGAAAAAAAAAATTCAAACAATGACTAACTGTACAGCTGTAACCCGTAAGCCTATTCAGGGGGTTTCTTTCCCAAGTTTCACGCTATACTACTAGGCAACTCAAGGCTTTTAACTTCAATGTCATGAAAGTTTCATAGTGAATGAAACCTTGTGAAACACAAGACACAACATAACATTTGATTTCCCCAGCCTATGGGAGTGGATAGTGTTTAATCTATATAAGATTAATCAGTATTACAAAATTAAAAAGAAAAAAAAAACCTGCCAAAGATATGCTGCTTTCAGAAACTAGAATTACTGGCAGGAAATTGTGGCACCTCAGAATCAAACTACTCAGAATCCAAACCCATCAGTATAAACTGCAGATTTCAGAGCTTGGAAGAGGGACACCAAATGACAAAAGGTACAAATTCAGAACAACAATGTGAGCAATTGGTCACTGGGACAACAATGTCACTGTACAATGACAAAAACATGATTTTTTTAAGGAAATAAGCCACACTTTTCTGAAATGAAGTGATCAAGCAATTGTTCAGTAAGTATTTCTTAAGCGCTTACTTTTTAAAAGAAAAAGACTGAGACTAGATCACATGAGGAATTAAGAACCTTTGTATGGTTTAGAAACCTAGAGAGAGTTTCTGCCATAATTAGAATCAATTTTAGAACTAGGGTAAATATACAAAATAATTAGTATTAAAATATACAAACGATTAGTACTCTTAACAGTCAAAATCTTTTTCATGCAAGGGTAAGGAAATCCAAGGAAGTGGTGGAAAGTAAACACAAATAGAAAATCCTCTAGAAATAAACCTATCCATATAAAAACTGAGCAAAAGCACCAGGCTTCTTCTCTTACCTGTATTCACAATGCAGCATTAAAATGACATGACTGCCAATAAATAATTCTTATCACAATCCAAATGTGTAATTTACAATTCTGAAAAGAGTTTTCTGAAACTTCACAGCATTTTATTACCATGATTTCATTTATCTTTCAGTTAATAATGAAAAACTATCACCTCTGGTAGCTTTGTTCATAGTGATGCTTCCTAAGGCTCACTCGACTTCACATTCCAGGATGTCTGGCTCTAGGCGAGTGATCGCACCATTGTGATTATCTGGGTCGTGAAGATCTTTTTTGTACAGTTCCTCTGTGGATTCTTGCCCCCTCTTCTTAATATCTTCTGCTTCTGTTAGGTCCATACCATTTCTGTCCTTTATTCAGCCCCTCTTTGCATGAAATGTTCCCTTGGTATCTCTAATTTTCCTGAAGAGATCTCTTGTCTTTCCTATTCTATTGCTTTCCTCTATTTCTTTGCACTGATCACTGAGGAAGGTTTTCTCTCTCCTTGCTATTTTCTGGAACTCTGCATTCAAATGGGTATATCTTTCTTTTTCTCGTTTGCTTTTTGCTTCTCTTCTTTTCTCAGCTATTTGTAAGCCCTCCTCAGACAGCTATTTTGCTTTTTTACATTCCTTTTTCTTGGGGATAGTGTTGATCCCTGCCTCCTGTACAATGTCATGAACCTCCGTCCAGAGTTCATCATGCACTCTGTCTATCAGATCTAGTCCCTTCAATCTCTTTCTCACTTCTACTGTATAATCATAGGGATTTGATTTAGGTCATACCTGAATGGTCTAGTGGTTTTCCCTACTTTCCTCAATTTCATTCTGAATTTGGCAATAAGGAGTTCATGATCTGAGCCACAGTCAGCTCCAGGTCTTGTATAGGCTTCTCTATCTTTGGCTGCAAAGAATATAATCAATCTGATTACAGTGTTGGCCATCTGGTGATGTCCATGTATACAGTCTTCTCTTGTGTTGTTGGAAGAGGGTGTTTGCTATGACCAGTGCGTTCTCTTGGCAAAACTCTATTAGCCTTTGCCCTGCTTCATTACGAACTCCAAGGCCAAATTTGCCTGTTACTCCAGGTGTTTCTCGACTTCCTACTTTTGCATTCCAGTCCCCTATCATAAAAAGAACATCTTTTTTGGGTGTTAGTTCTAGAAGACCTTGTAGGTCTTCATTGAACTGTTCAACTTCAGTTTCTTCAGCATTACTGGTTGGGACATAGACTTGGATATTACTGTGATATTTAATGGTTTGCCTTGGAGACAGAGATCATTCTGTCATTTTTGACATTCATCCAAGTACTGCATTTCGGACTCTTTTATTGACCATGATGGCTACTCCATTTCTTCTAAGGGATTCTTGCCCAAAGTAGTAGATATAATGGTCATCTGAGTTAAATTCACCCATTCCAGTCCATATTAGTTCGCTGATTCCTAAAATGTTGACGTTCACCCTTGCCATCTCCTGTTTGACCACTTCCAATTTGTCTTGATTCGTGGACCTAACATTCCAGGTTCCTATGCAATACTGCTCTTAATAGCATCGGATCTTGCTTTTCTCACCAGTCACATCCACAACTGGGTGCTGTTTTTGCTTTGGCTCCGTCTCTTCATTCTTTCTGGAGTTATTTCTCCACTGATCTCTTGTAGCATACTGCAGGGTAGTTAGGATATTAATTCACTAGGTCACTAGTAGAATTTGAACCCCTAATGTTACCTTCTAGTTCAGTGCTCTGCTAAGGACAAAACCATGCTATCTAGCTGCTTTGGGTTCCAGGGAGAAAGCCAAAAAGTTTGAGGCATTATACTGCTGGTTTTTATCATCATCAATACCCACATTTTAAGTGCACCAACGTCATCAATGTTCTCCTATGAGGTAAACAAAGTCTGTTAAACTGATAGGCTGCCATTAATTACCTGCAATGCTACAAACGTACACACATAGGAACTTATGTTAACACATTAATTACATTCCATAAAGTACCTCTTCTAAGGCATTCCATAGGTCCTCATCTGAATGCTCATTGAAGGGATCCAGATTCTTCCTCATTGTTCCAGTGAATAAAACAGGTTCCTATATACCCCAAAATAGGAAATGTTATTTCTGTAAACTATTTTCATCTTACACAAATGCTTACAGAAAGTAATTTAAATTCCAAAAAACCCCAACATTCATTATAATCATTAATAACAAGGTTACGGGACCTTCGCTGTGTGACATGGCAGGAGGGCTTAGGTGCTCCATGCCATATGGGATTCTAGTTACTAAACTGCAGATGAAAACTACGTCCCCTGCATTATAAGGCAGATTCTTAACCCTGGGCCCACCAGGGCAGTCCCAAGAGGTGTTTCTTTTGATGAAGTGTTATCTCCTTTTCACATTATACTCTAGAGTCATTACTTAAGCTAATCTATGGAATAAATTGGTTTTCAAAGACAAAGACTTTTTGGATGTGCCTGGTGGTCCAGCGGCCAAGACTCGGCGCTCCCAATGCGGGGGGTGGGGGGTAGGGGGGCAGGGTTCAATCCCTGGTCAGGGAAATAGAGTCTCACATGCTGCAACTAAGGATCCTATGTGCTGCAACAGAGCCACGGCACAGCCAAATAGAATCAATAAATACTACTTTTTAAAAAAAGACAGACCTTCCTTCCTTCCTTGAGCAATAAAAGGTCCCACAGGATAAACACGTTTGGGAATGGTGGTTTGGGTGGTTCAGGAGAACAGGAACGGGGACCCCACTTAAAGTTCAATCACAGATTTCATAATAAGGGCCTCACTCCATTGTTACTTCCTTCAGCAACTTCTCTTTGGAAATCTTGTTGAAGTGAATGAGTCTCTCCAAAGACTAGGGGACTAAAACGAGATTCTTTGCAGAAAGGAGGATCTTTCACTTTTGAATCCTCGACCAAGGCCTGTAGTTATTTATGCTAAGTGTTAAATGGAGCCTTCAGACACTCTATAGGCCTTAGGGGGATTCTGCTAATTATCACCAATCCACTGTTGATTGTCCCAAAAAGAAAAGAAATTAACCATCTCACAATGCTATAAGGGTGCTCACCTAAGTCTATACTGTCACTCTCAGAGGATATACTTGGCAGCATCTATTGTTTATTTAGCAGCAATGGATGAAAGATAATCGTTTTATAAAGAAGAATATTTCTCTTTGCTATGACATGTCAAAAACATATTTCAAAATCAGTAAACTTTCAATCAAAACTTGTGGAATGAAATGGATGATGTACCAAAACATTAACTGATTGAAGCTATAAAGATACCAGGCAATTTGTGAACAGTGTCCGTTTTAATATGTCAATGCATTTTATGTGTGGCGTTCATCTTAGTTTCTACTCACTCTACTTTCACCCACTTGCCAAATACGAAACCATCACATTATCTTCAAAAGGTAACAACAGTGCTCACAGTAGACACATACTCCGAGGGCAGACGAGGGTCAGATTAATGATCATTTCTGACAGATATTATTATTAAAGTAACCACTTATAACCAACAAAGTTAATAATCATATAAATAAGTGTTGTAAAACTGTTCTGCAGGCAGAACACTTCAGTGTAGAGATTTATGGTAGGACCTACAAGCTTCATGTAAATATACACTAAATTTATTAGGCTAAGAATCTTTTTTTCTGAAGGCACAGAGTTAAACCTCACTTAAAAGGTAGCTGGCACAGTACAGTTGAAGAACAAACACTCTTGTACAACGTAGTACTTTAAATGAAGCATCGGTTTCCAATCTGTTTTTCATCAAGGTTTAAAGTCGGATGTAATCCTTTGTGCCATATTCAATAGAAACTTTTTCGTTTGTTATGAATATGACACGAGTTCATATTAGCTGTGTGACCCAAAAATGGCCACGCTGAATCACAGCATTTAGTTTGGTAAATTGATAATCCCTTGACACAATCGAAAGACTAAAGAACGGCAGTCTTAAGGGACCTTTTAGTATAGGCTGCTGGAAGAAAAGACCCCTGTTATCCTACAAAGAAACCCTACCTACTAACCTGATGCTTAAAATGACCTGGGACCAAGACAAAAAGTGTACAAATGGTTACAAACAAGGCAAATAAAGCAGAATAATTTCAGTCCCAAACTAGGAATATCATGAGTAGCTACTACTAAGAAATTAACACAACACTGTAAATTAACAATTGTTGTGGTTTAGTCACTAAATCATGTCTGACTCTTTCACCACCCCACAAACTGTAACTTGCCAGGCTACCCTGTCCATGGAATTCTCCAGGCAAGAATACTGGAGTGGGTTGCCATCTCCCCTCCAGGGGATCTTTACAACCTAGGGATTGAACCCACACCTCCTACATTGGCAGGCAGATTCTTTACCACTGAGCCACCAGAGAAGCTCCATAAATCAACTATACTTCAATTTTTGAAAAAAAGTGTCTACTGCTGCCGTTTCCTGGTGCCCTGTTCTCCTTTCTAGTCTGAGGACTTTTCATAAGTGGAAATTCATCTCCCTGTTTCAAGAATAAGAGAAGCACCTGAAGTCACTTTAAATTTTGGTACCCTCATCTTTTTTTTTTCTTTTTTAAGATCCTGTAGCCTCTGAATGAACTAATCATCATCCATATTCAGAAGAAAAGGACATTGTTTGCCAACAAAGGAAGAAGAATTTAAGTCAGGTAAAGTTCTTTTTCAGGGGCCCCAGGGAGCAGTTCCAAGAAGACTTCAGTGTCAGAAACAAAGGGCCGACTACCTTAGGCTAGAATCCAGTTGTATTTCTTTACTAGTAACAGCATATCCAACTTTTCTCTTTCAGTTTTATTCTCAACAAGATAAAAAGGGAAAGAAAACCAGGTAATCATGGGGAAGTCAGAGACAGCTCTGGATCACCTTCTTCAACTTACTGACAAAAACGCAAGGAACAGAAATACCAAATGAGCAGAGGGGGCTGTTTAAAAAATACCAAGCTTTTGCTTTGCTATCTCTATAGAGAAAAACTATTAAATATAAGAAATGACTCTAATCATAATTAAGATGATGGCTGCTGATCTGTGCCGACCTCTGGGCTACAGTCATAAACACTGAATTCACATGGAATCCCTCTTCAACAGGAAACACTTCCCTTGTGCCATAAATTACCTTGTGCCATTTTCTCCAGGTGCAGAGAAGCATCCAAAGAGGCTCACATTAGCGATTAGACTCGGGGTAACTTATTAATCTTCCCAAGACTCAGTTTCCTTACTGGCAAATGGGGCTAACGTTGCAAGGCTGATGTAAGAAGTTTGAACAACAGTGATGCTAACACTGACCAGGAGCCCAGCCCAACAGGGGACAAGGAGGGGCAGGATCTATCCAACTGCAAGCTCAGGCAATGGATCAGAAAGTCAATTTTGTGCCTTGTGACTGTCATTCTATCTTTTATATTAGCTGGAACAGAATGGATATCCTAGATGGTTTTAAAGTCCATTTAAAAGAAGAGCAAAGCTAATCAGAAGAATGGAGAATAAAAAGCAGTGTATAGAGTAATAATGTTTTTTTTAAATTTGTGTATGTGAGTGTGGACATGAAATCATGATACGAAGCAGTTCTACTATGGATGACAGTCAACAGGGTGTTGAAGTCCTCACAGAGTGATCAGCTGCTCAGGCTCTGGAGTTGGGAATCACCGAAAATACATACGAAATTCAGGCTCTGCTGCTTACTTGCTAAGTGGGTTAAGCTCATAGTGCCTCAGTTATCAAATCTGTCAGATAAGGATAACAAGAGAATTGTGAGGATTAAGGAGGAGAGAGTAGGGAAAGAGGCCAACATGTGTTAAGAATTCCACAAGTGTTAGGAATTATTATTAATACTGTGTAATTTGTCAGGGGCTGCAATGAAAACTAGAGCAACAGAAATGAGAGACACAAGCCACGTCTTCAAAGAGAGTAAGACAACTGTCATAAATATGGAAAGCATTAAGAAAAATGCCAGAGGTCTCCGTGGGAGACTGCAAAGTATGACTGGGGTACAGGGTGATGGTCAGGAAAGAACCTGGTGGGACAGGAGCCAGAAACCAAGAGAAAAAGTGATAGTCTTCCCTCTCACGCCTTGGAGAAAAGACACTACATAGATTTTTCAGTTATGCTTTTCCCTACAACTCTACTGCATTGTTTTTTAATTTTGCTTCACTCTTTAAATTTCTATAAACAATGTGGTTTAAGTTATAAGCGACAGAAGTAATGAAAATCACCAAGGACTACAAAAACATGAAAAGAAATTAAAGAACAAAGCCTTTCCAAAATGTGTTAGTCTTTTAGAAGTAACACCTGAAAGGTTAGTGCCTTCATTCTTAAGAATACTTATAATTACTATTGGCTGACTGGTCCCAAGAATCAGCCATGGGCCTCAAACATTTTCTAACCTAAGTTACATTTTTAGTGTTAGTCACTCACTCATGTGGAACTCTCTGTGACCCCATGAATTGAAGCCCACCAGGCTCCTCTGTCCACACGATTCTCCAGGCAAGGACGCTGGGGTGGGTAGCCAATTTCCTTCTCCAGGGGATCTTTCCAACCCAGGGATTGAACCCAGGTCTCCCGCATTGCTGGAAGATTCTTTGCTATCTGAGCTACCACAGAACTCCACATATTTTTAAAAAGTTTTGTTTGGCTGCACCTGGTCTTTGTTATGGCATGTGGAACCTAGTTTCCTAAACGGGGATTGAACCTGAGCCCCCTGCACTGCGAGCAGAGTCTTAGCCACTGAACCACCAGGAAAGTCCTTAGTCATATCTCACAACAAATCTGTGTCACATTAGTTTCTAGACCTGGTTCAAGGACCAGGACACTGGACCTCCAGACAAGGGACTTCCTCAAGGCCCTACAGTCATATGAGACAGAGGAGGAATTAAAAGGTGGCTCATGTTGACACTCAGTCCATAGACTGAGTGAATAATCTTCTGGGACACTTAACACAAACATTCTCTTTTATCAAATAGCATTGGGCCTCAGAAACAAAGACATAGAGAGTGAAAATATAAAGTTTTGTGTTTACAATGGTTAGTGATCATTATCTACATGGATACAAAGCTTAGCACTGTTTTTGTAAGCACGATCCCTGGAGTGGGTACACAGAGCATGCTCAAACGTAGGGTGGAAACTGATGGAACAGAACCAAAACGTGGTGATGTCAAGGGATGTTTAGTCTTTGCTCAGATGTGCTTCCAAAACATTACTGGCAGAGCCAAGAATCATCTAACGTTATTTCTTTATTTATAGAGTTCTTTTATGTACACAAGCATACAACCTTTTCTTATTAAGAAGCATTAAAAGTAATACAGGGCACGTTTCTCAATCCTTTTATCCAAGGACTTAAAAGTACTTTACAGACACACCCATTAGTCTTCGAACTAACCTCACTTGGCCCATTTCAGAGATGGGTAAAATCAAAACTTAAAAGCAGGAATCTAGAAACATTTATTTTCTACATTAATCACCAAGTCCGCCACCAAGAACCGACTGCTCTAAGTACTTCAGGTAAGAATGCACCTGCCAATGCAGGAGACTTAGGATGCAGGTTCGACCTCTGGGCTGGGAAGCTCCCTTGGAGGAGGGCATGGCAACCCACTCCAGTAGTCCTGTCCAGAATCCATGGACAGAGAAGCCTGGCAGGCTACAGTCCATAGCATCGCACAGAATTGGACATGACTGAAGTGACTTAGCACGCACACACAACAGCAATGCACAAGGATTCCAATTTCTGCACACTCCTGTGAACACTTGGTTCTTTTTTATCTTAAAAATAGTTGAAATCTTTAGAGGTACGAGGTGTGGGATTTCACCGTGGTCTAAAAAGGATATCTTGATTCCAAAAGTACTTTTACTAATTCCAGGTATTTTAGAGGACAGGGGTAGGGAGCAACACTTGTATAGTGATAAGACACAAGTCCATGTTCTCCTGCCTTGGGTGCCATGTTCTACATGCTTCCTAATCACATTTCAGAGCTCATTACAGCTGCATTCCAGGAAGCACATTTGCCTGGCTCTTCTCTCTTAAAGGTATCTATTATTCTCAGCATTCCTTGATGGTCAGATGATGGTAGAGAATTTTTTTTAAAACACCAAAGATAAAAAAATAAAACCAGCAAGTTTATCATAGCAGAGGGCAGGATTAAAGATGAAGGCACAGGGTCTATGTTGTCCTTGGCTATATACATGGAGGATAGTAACTGCTCAATAAACATCTTCATTATTTTAAGTGGATGAAACATAAGAGCTCTACTAGATAAATAATCAAGCACTCCTTAAATATCATACATATTTAATAAGTTAAAAAAAAAAAAAAGGAAGAATCAGAAACCAGGAAGAGATGGTTAATTCAATGTTCCACCATCACAGAAGCCATGTCCTGGGCCTATGTGAATCGATCCACAGGCACTGACCTATTTAGTCCTCACAGCAGCTCGAGGAGCTGGGACTGTTAACTGCCTTGTAAGGGAGAGATGGAATTCCATGTCCTGTGCTTTTCCTCACTATTCTGTACTGCATGCCTGGTTAAAACCATTTACCAACGACTAATTTCCAAAACTCTGCCCTGTCCATCTATACACACGGTAATTCTCAAAGTCCTACACTTTCACAGAAAGCCTTCAACTCTAAAGATGCAGCTTATTTCCTATAGCAAAATTCCATCATTAAGACACTTAAGATGGCTGTTTTTCCCGACAGAAACCTTTTACATGTTAAACAAACTGTTTATAATTGTGTTTTCAGAATTATGTGGTTAGAAGTGGGCAAAATAGTAGTACTTGAAGCTTAAATTCAGAAATCTTATCTGGAAAAGTTATTAAATCACAAACACACAAAAGAAAGAAAGAAACAACACAAAAAACCTGATACCTGAGTAAGTATCTGTGAAAATACCTATATTTAAAAATACGCTCTACTGGGGAAAAAAGAATCAACACTTTCATCCAACTAAAAAAACAAGAAATCAAAAGAAATGAAACTTAGATGGTGTATAAAAAGAATACGTGAAAATGCTCTGATGTGCATACCTGAGGTATAATTGACATTTTCTTCCTTAAATCATGAAGACCAATTTCGGTTGTCAAGATCTTATCAATCCAGATTTTACCTTCAGGCTCCGACAATCTAAAAAGGGCAGCGATGAGAGAACTTTTTCCAGCTCCTGTTCTTCCCACAATGCCAATCTGTAAAGAGATCCAAGAGGGATTAAGAACTAACAATATGCAACAAACCTAGGAAAAACCCTAGTTGTTGAAGATGAATTTTAAAAGGTCTACTGAGCATAGTCTCTCAAGTCCCTCAACTGTGGCACTGTTGAGATTTGGGGTCAGGTAATTCTTTGCTGGAGAAGGGAGGCTGTCCAGAGAATTGTAGGATGGATAACAGTAGCCATGGAGTCTACCCATTCGATGACAGAAGCATGTGTCAGATGGTGGAAACCAAAAATGACAGACATCGACAAATGTGCCATGATTAAGACCCCTGGTTAAAAGAACAGAATCAGGCCACAAGAAGTAAAAACTCAGAAGCTTTCCAAGTGTTCCATTAGAATTCAACTTTTACATTAGTTATATTCCTAGTGTTTCGATATTTGAACATTGAGAATTATGTGAGCAATTTTGCAGATTCGTCAACAAGCCATGTCAGAAGTCTTACATACAAACAAATATTCAGAGTTCCAGATTTCTTTCAGTTAAGAGGAAGTATTCTTTGGTAGACAAACTAAATCACTTCCAGATAATAAATACCTTACTAATGATTTGTCTTGAAACATCTTAAAATTTTAAAATGCAAGTCTCAGTGTCTTAAAAGGCAGTAACCAGTAGACAAAACACACATAATGAGGTCAACAAAAACAACAACACAAACAACACTTTCTATTTATATGGGACCTTTCATCTCAGCACTTCAAAAGACATTTTACAAACCAATTAATACTTATAATTAAACCCTCGGAAGATATGTGTCAAGTATCAGCCAAGTTATTAAAATCTAAGCAGAGAAATTAAGTGCATTAACAATAAGATCAAAGATTCAATATAATGCACGTAAAATGCAGATCAGGAGTAAAATTTTATTGTAAAAACTGGTTAGTTGTCCAAATTCAAACATGTATGCAGAAGTTGGTCTTTTCTACCAATTAGGTGGCCAACTACAAATTTCCTGGTGGGGTATATGATATTCTTTCATATGTGCTGTCACTTCAGTTGTGTCTGACACTCTGTAGCCTGCCAGGCTCCTCTGTCCATGGGATTCTCCAGGTAAGAATATTGGAGTGGATCGCTGTTTCCTCCTCCAGGGTATCTTCCCAACAACCCAGGGATTGAACCAGCATCTCTTCATTTCTATCATTGACAGGTGGATTCTTTACCACTAGTGGGGGGAAGTCGATGATATCAGCCAGGTCCAGAGGGCATAGCCAGCACCAGCAACTTGTGACCGGCAGTGCTCCCCTCTGGGGGCTACTGAAGTTGGCTTTTGACAGCTGTGCTCACTTGTGATCGGCTTTATTGACGTTTGTGTTTTGTCTTCATCATCATCTCCCTCACCGCCAAGCTCACACTCACAACAAGGGGCCGCTTTTCAATCACTTGTAAATAAATTTTAAAAACAGAGAAGAATCAAACCACTCTGAGCACTGATTATACTAGGGTAATTTGATTTATCTTCTCATTAAATACTTCCAAAGTTTCAAACTGTAAAGACAATAATTCAATTTCAAAAATTTAACTTTAGACACATTAACAGAAAGAAAAGTGACTTTTCTTTATACGATATGATAAATCCTGATTTATGTAACATAGATGGGATACATTTTGCATCTAGGCAGGTCCTAGAGTATATTATTTATATATATATATATAGTCCTATGTTCTGTGTACATGTAGATTTTGAACATATTGTGGACTTCATTCCAGACCACCACAATAATGGGAATATCAAAAAATAACTCAAGTCATATGGATATTTTTCTCCCTCTGAATTTTTCTTCTTCTAAAAAATGTTAACCATCACCTGACCCCTCTTCGGGTTGGAGTAACTTCAAGAACACTGAATACAGGTCACCATGACAAGTATGATTATAATGAAAAGATTTGAAGTACTGCAGGAATTACCAAAATGTGACAGAGATATGAAGTGAGTAAATGCTATAGGAAAAATGGTGTTGCTGCTCATGCTTAATGCAGAGTTGCCGCAAACATTCCATTTGTGAAAAAACATAAACCTCCAAAGAAACAGCACTTTGAAACACAATAAAACCAGGTACGCCTCCATTTCGGGATGTTTTAACATGTAAATCGACACACAACACAATACAGGTGAGAAGTGTGTCTGTGAAAATGTTTGTACACTTCTATGCTACTCATATTGGTGGTGGTTTAGTCACTAAGTTGTGTTCGCCTGTTGTGATCTCATGGGCCTGCCAGACTTCTCTGACCATGGGATTCTACAGGCAAGAATACTGGAGTAGATTGCCATTTCTTTCTCCAGGGGATTTCCCCAATCCAGCAATTGAACCTGGGTCTCCTGCATTGCAGGCAGGTTCTTTACTGAGTCACCAGGGAAGCCCATGCTATTAATATCAGCTATACTGAAACTGATGCATCTGTGTAAACTGGGATATTTGTAGACTTTGGGTAAATGGCCCAGATATGGCAGGGGCACTAACAGCTGCTCAGGGCTATAGGAATGCAATTTCAACACTCTAGTGAGGAGAGGTAAGAACAGAACTACTCAAAGAAAACCCAGACCAGGCTATCTCTAGCATTCACTTATCAAAACTATCATCTGCAAGTCTTCCCCAGGACACCAATGGGTTTTATGAATTGCCCATGGAGAATGCCACCAGTGTCACTGAAGTTTACACATTCCTGAAACCAAAGACATTTAGAGAAAACTTTTACAGAGGTCTTGCTCAAATGCAATGCTGAGAAAAGAGGTCTCTTTGGGCTTGAGACTCTGAATTTCCGAGAGGCTCCCAGGTGGTGTAGGTGCTGCTGGCCCTGGCAACACAGTCTGAGTTGCAAGGAATTAGAAAGCCGGGACAATCTGGGAGTGAGGGGAGGGTTTGCTGAGGATGTATTATGTAAAAAGGAGAAAAGGTAGGAAACTAATATTTTTGCACGTTATAGCAAGGTCTAGTAAGCATCTGTAAAAATGTATTATCCAAGTAATAGCTCCGAGCGAGAAAAAAATAACAAACCAAAATCAATCTACCTCTAGAGCTGGAAAACACTTTAAAATGGCCCAGTACTTTCTAAAATGATCAAATCAACCACAAAATCATCTAAATGAAAAATGCAGCCTCTGTTCAGAATCTACTCAGGAAGTCTACAGTGCTATTTACCTCATTTTGGTTCTTTATTTTTACTTGCTATTTCTTCTATGAATTAGAAACCAGTGTAATACTTATTAATTTTTCCCATTTACTTCTGGGAATTGGGACAGCAGAGAAAATGAGAGAAAGAGAATTAAAGCCCCAGTTGTGCTAGGCTGGCTCACTCCCACGTCCCCCCCACTCCCAGCTCTCAATCAACTCGAACACTAAGGGGGTGTCCTGCAGTGATGGGGGCTGGGACAGGTGAGCAGGAGGGGAGACCTCGGATGTACAGGTGGAGTGAAATGACTTCATGAACACACTGCCCGAGTGTCATCTCCAAACACAGAAATGAAGCTAACAGGGATATTGACAGTGGACTGAGACACAGATCAAAGTCACATTACTGCAGTTTTTAATTCACTCTCCAGACTCAATTTTCTTACATACATTTTAGAAGCTCAGATAGATCTACGATTTGGGGATTTTAAGATGGAAGAATGCACATAGCTTATGTTCCTAAGTTGTATTGCAGTTTCTTAGATAATTCATATTTTATGGCTTTTGGCGAATTTGAGGTGGGTAAATTAACAGAATTATGTATACAACAGGAAATATGGTGGACACAATGTCTGCAAGCAAGCAAACCTTACTTCCTTCCCAATCTACCAGCCAGCTTTTGCTGTGTGACTAACTGAAGCTTCTCCCTGCATATCATTTGGGCATTAAATTGAATACTCTTTAGCATCACAAGGGTATCATTCATTAAATTACAGCTCCAGTCCACTAGATGGGTCTGTGGTGGGAAGAGTTTTTAAAGAGCAGTTAAATACCAAGTATTTAACATGATAGGTAATAGGTTATTTACGCAGTTGTGCTGTGTGTGTGTTTTGGTTACTGGTTGTTCACAACTATGTGTTATTCATTCACTTTCCCAGCGGGGAATCTCTCAGCACACTCTGTGTGCCCTGAAAAATACAATTTTGCGGGGGAACAGAGAGGAAAATAAGATGCTCTCTGATCTTTAAGAAGCACTAGGGATCTGTGAGATACAGACCCCAAATTACAAAGTGTGTCAAAGATGCCATCAATTAACTGCGGTAAAGTACAGATAACGTAACACTTACCAACTTAGCCATTTTTAGGGGCACAGTTTACTGTGAAGCGCATTCACTTTGATTTCCCTCATGAATATTTTCCGCCTTGTAAAACTGAAACTCTGTATACATTATACAACAACAACCAATTTCCCTTGCTCAGGTCATGCAACTACCATCCAATTTTCTTTCTTATGGATCTGACTACTCTAGGAAACCTCCAGTAAGTGGAATCCTACAGTGCTGGTGCCTTTTATGTCTGTTTTATATCATTAACCTGATGTCCCTAGATCGGAATTTTCTTGCTTTTTTCAGGCTGAATAATGTTTAATTGTGAGGATATACCACACTTGTTCATCCAGTCACCTGTCACTTTCCTTAGATATAAGACACTGAGGAAGAGCTGAGTGTCTTGCAGAAGCAGACACACTAGAGTCAGCTCAGAAAATGAGGAGCCGTTCACCGGCCAGGTGACGAAGGGAAGGGTCTCTGAGGTAGATAGAGGACAGAATGCGCAGGGGAGCTGGGAGGACACCGAGCTTCGGGAGAACCTACAGATGACCCGAGTGCAGGGAGTATGTGAACATCAGAACCTGAAGCTAGAGGGGCAGGTGGGGCACAAGATAGGCAGGAAAGAGGTTCCTACCACCAACGCCACTCTCACTTAAGCCTCATTTCCAAGAGCCTGCCCTGGTTCTGACGGACATACTGCTTAGGACAACAGCAGATGTGGGTCTAAATGTTCACAGGTAAACTGTTCAAGAAGGAAGTGGCTGAAACAAACCTTTTCTTTTGATTTAATGAGCGCAGTCACGTGCTTCAATACAAGAGGCCCATCTAGGCTGTATGAGAAGTTCACGTTGTCAAAGATGATCATGCCTTCATGGGGCCAGGACGGCAGTGGGCGTTTCTGGTATTCCCAGGGCGCTTCTTTTTCCAGATCTGTATACTCGATCACCCTTTCTACTGAAATCATCTGAAACACAGGGCATCACGCGAGTTAGGAACAGAGGGTCTCATTAATGGATGCCAGATTATGAATGAAACTTCTTTTGTATCTTTATATCTACATTTCTATAGTTAAGAATACCTCAGGTCTTAGCATCTACAAAAAACAGAGGTACTCCCTCTAGAAAAGACAGAAGTACTAGTTTAAAGAGCATACTGATGATGTGTAACTTTTTCACTGTCTTGTAACACATTTATTATGGCTACCAGGTTCAACATTGTATCAAGACTAAATGACCTAGATAGATTGAATACTCTAACATATCCAATTTTCATATATACGTTTTTTAAAACAGAAAACCTTGTCAATGAAAATAGTATGTATGGATAGAAATCATTATTAATACTTTGCTATAGAGCGATCATCTGTTACAGATGAATAGAACTGGATGGTCACCTACATTTCATTTTAATAATTAGCTACTTTCTACTCTATTAGAGAGTGAAATAGACAAATTTCAGTTTCAACATTTTTCTCTTTTTAGGAGAAAATGAAAATGTTGAAAACGGAGGCAATTTACATATTAACTAATGCCTCCTAAACAAATATAACTCGATACCTTTGACAGTACCTTCCAAAAGAAGGGCCTCAGTAAGTTCAGGCATTCAACACATACAAAGAGACATTCTAAAATGGGGATGGTGGGGAATAACTAAATTAATTGAGCAAATAAACCTCAAAATACTAAATTCTTAAACTATTAAGTAACAAATGCAAACAAGCCTCTAAGAAATAATCTGTATCTTCTGCAGGATGTCAGAAACTCCCTCCTACACAGGCATGTATTAAATTTGAAGACAGCTTGTGATGAATATAAAACCAGCTGACGTGGCATACATAAGACTGAGAAAAGATGTATATATTTTATTTTAAATAAATGTTAAACAGATGCTGGAAGGATCTAACAATCCTGTTAGCTATGATGTAAAAAAAAGTTTTAAGAGTTTTTTTAACATAATAATTGCCTTTATGTCATTTAACGTTAAGGAAAAGGCTAAAAGGTAACATCACCATATTTTCAACTTCAGCACTTTGCCTGACGCACCACTGGAACATCCCCATGAGCATGAGGGCATAGGACAACGCCAGGCCAACCTGCCCAGCGTCCAAAGCTAAATGAGGAAGAAGAAAGGAAACATTTCAGTCCTACTGTTAACCCTGAGCTGGGCTCCTTCTTTCACTGTGCCTAGACTTCTCGATAATATTTAAATCACTGGCACATAGATAGTGTTAGTTATACTTTTACTAACTGTTGATAGAAAAAAAAAAAAAAACAAAAACAAAAACGAGAAGAAAAAAACCACCACTATGAACACAGAAAACTACTAAAAGAGCTTATTAATCCTGACAGGGTTGACATACTCTGACAGTTATGATGTAGGGAAGGAAACACGTCATCATGCAGACTTTCGTCACTATGGTTTCAAGGATCATCATGTGATTTCACTTTTTACGTGCAAGGCAGCCACAGTTGGAAACCACGAAAAACAAGTCAATTGGTTCTAAGAGCCAGTGCTTTTAAATCTAAAATACTGCTCTTGTTGTTCCCTTATTAAACCCAATGATTCAGTGTTGTTACTATGGAATAGTAATTCACAATAGGGATGGTGAATGCATGCCATGCACACCAACACCACCTGCTCATCTGGTATCCACACCACAGTGAGGATGGTGTTCTTTCCTACAGAGAATGTTTCTCACCACAGTACACCAGGCATCAATAACCAAGAGATCCGAGCAGTCCTAAAGCCACAAGCTGGACAAAAAGCTAACAGTAAACTGGTTTCTCTCCTCCCAACCTAAAATGCTATCAGTAATGTTCAGAAGGTCAGTTGCAAGGCTGACTTCATCCCACTGAAGACAGATTGAAGGGACCAAAGAACACATCAAGAAGTCTCACCAAACGTCTCATCAAAACACAATGACTCCTCTACAGGGGCCACACTGCAGGATCACATGGAACAAACACTTTAACACAATCCATTAGAACGAAACGGTATACTAGACAAAGGGGCAAAGAGGTAAGTTAATAACTGCAAATGAAGCTGTAACTGTAATCGTACTATAAACAGTGATGCACTTACTTTTTGCCAGAATCAGGGACCCAAAGGCAACAACAATGACAAACACAGCACAGATGGCATCCAGACGCACAGCGAACCATCGGGACGTCGTCAGAAACAAGAACCAAGCCTCTGGATTTGAGGACAGAAATAAGCAGAATGAGTAAGTAGAGATATCATGTAGGCTGCTTTGAATTGGGATGGGGTCTTCTGCGCAGGTGAACTACAGAAGATTTCTACACAAGTTAGCAAAGCAGTTATAGGCTCAAGCACCTTGAGGACTGCAACAAGCTAGGTTCTGACATGACAATGTATGGGAACACAGGAATCACTCCAGGAGCCTTGCGGGAAGCAGGCACTGGATACGTCAAGCCAAGGTAATAAAGAGAAATATGATCCTAATAATTAACATACAAAAATGGTCTCATCGTCGTGTGTCAAATGGTACTGGGCTCCAAGTGAAGCTTATCCTCTGACAAAGTTGACTGTTTCCAAGTCTATGCTGGCACAGAAACACCCTGCACTGTTTCCAGCACTGTCTGCACTTACTACAGGGCCCCACATAGTGTTAATTCCTAGGAGCCAGTATTTGAAGGACCATCAGATAACAGATCTACATGTGGCTTTCCAAATGTCATTTTATCAGTTGGACCAGGATTTTATTAATGTAGAGGAAATTCTGGGTGCCATATCTGATAATGGAGAAATTATTTTCCTTAATTCTCTGAAAGGATGAGACGCTTAGATAGCATCACCAACTCAAAGGACATGAGTGTGAGCAAACTCTGGGAGACAGTGGAGGACAGGGAAGCCTGGCATGCTGCAGTCCGTGGGGTCGCAGAGTCGGACACAAATGACCAACTACAACATGCTCTGGAAAGAGTTGGCAAACTAACAGCCTATGGGGCAAGAATGGACACAGTTTGCTTTTTTAAATCAAGTTTTATTGGGAGATAGTCACAGCCATTTGTTGCTGTATTCTTTCTGCCTGCCTTAGTGCTATAATAGCAAAGCTGAGGAGTTGCAACAGAGACTACGTGTGTTTTTTTGTAAGTTTGTTGACACCCTTCTTAAAGGGCCAAAGCCATAGGATGTGGTGACAATTGGAATGCAAGGCAGTAAGAGGAGGAAAAGCAGGGGTGTGCCAGGGGAAGAGGGGTGCACACATGGGAGCTGAGGAGAAGGGGTGGGGGAGGCAGGTTTACAGAGGGAGACGCAGGGCGGCATAGAGGTGTGGGCCGGCAAGGCCGCCTGAGAGGGAGGTCAGGCCTCAGAAGGCAGCACATCCCATCCTTTGAAATCATTTCCAGAATCCCACAGACCTGAGTGCAAGTCCTGGTGTGCGTCGAACAGCTCCTGAAACCTCTGTTCGGCTTTGTACGCCCGGATGGTCCAGAGGCCTTGGAGAGAAGACGATAAGTGGGAAAACACTGGGCTCCGTGCTGGGGAAGCAGAAACAGATACACAACAGAGAAAGTCAGGGAGGCTGGATGCGAGGAAACCAACTGCTTCCTGTGCTCGGCCGGTCATTTATCTTCCCAAGGGGCACACCCAGGGCTTCTTGGCAACTGCCTGGCAAAGTACCTACTGTGACCCTCAAAATTCCTCATCCCAAGATTCACTTTCATGACCTGCATATAACAGATTCCCTTCAAAGTCATCTTTGACCAAATTTAGTTTGGACCTGTATTTAGACAACGCATTTCTGTACTAACTCATTCATCAAGCTCCCTCAATCTTGCCTCCCTCCCTATTCTTCCCTGACATCCCTCTAAGAACTTATAATTCACTAATTCTCGATTATCATTTTTAAACTTGATTCTCCATCAGAGTACTCACCGCACTGAATTTTGATGAATGTGTTGTCACCACCATAAGACTAGAAACTTAAGGGCTGGCACAGGACAGGGGTGAGATAAGTGAGGTGAGCGGACAGCCTGCCGTCTCTCGGCATCACCCCTGCACCTGCACCAGGAGTCTCTGGGCGGGTCACAGAGAACCTGGGACTACACCGCCCTTGTGACTGCAGGACCCATGCAATTAAGGCATCTTCCACTCTGGGAAACTGAAGGATGTTCTTATAACTGCCCTGCTGGATACCCGAGGAATCTGGAGGTCACTGTGGCATGTGACATCACATCACCCTTGTAGTATCTGACAGTGGCCTCAGTGGCCATTCTCTTTTGAGTGACTTCATGTAGGTTTGGGCCTGGTGGCAGACGACTGGCCATTTGTTTCCTGCCATCTTCTCTAAGAGCCCAGTGACCACGAGCACCAGGGTCAGGCTCCTGCCCATCAGGGAACAGGTGGCCTGCAGGCTGCTGGGCAGTGAGGACCCCATACGGTTCTCATTCCCATTGTGAACAAGGCTGTACTGTAACCTGTGACCTCTGTCAGGGATGAGCGATGACCTGTGTTGTAACAGGACATCACTTTGTTACCTGTGCATCTCCTGAAAGAGATTATTACTTCTAACATGATGCCGTTATTTTCCTTTTAGAAAAATGATGCAATATTCTCCTTTTACTGAGTGGCTGCTCTGTGTTAGGAAGTATGTGATAAGCAAGACAAAATCGGTCCCTATCCTCATGGTGCTCACATTTGTTCCCCTTGCGCTATAATGCAAAGCTGCAACTAACACTACCAGCTCCATGTGCCTTAGGGGCCACATTGACTCAGAAGGCCCCTAATGTGCAATTAGTAGACTCGGTGAGAAATTCCAAGACAGAACCTACAGGATTTCAGGGTTCTGGTTAATTATCATAAATGAAGTCAGTCTGCACTGACATCCCAACCTGAGAGCCCTGGTACTCACTTGTAGATTCCAGGCGTTTGACATCTCGCGATGTTTCTAAGAAATATCGTCGGAGAACAAAGAAGACGATGCCAAGGGGAACCAGGGGTATGGCAATCCAAGGAATCACCGCCACTGCCACGCCCACCACACCGATCACTTGCAGAAATGTCTGAAAGAGAAAATATAGATACAGGGGCCTATTTATCCAGCATTCTCCTAAAAAATAAAACTTAATGGGTTGTTTTGTTAGGATTAAACTCCTTTTCCTCAAAGGATATGTTGGGGAAAGGTGGTCCTCGTGGTGTTTACTGTACACTTACCGTGTGAGAAACACTGGGCCAAGTACGAAGTGTCTAAGCATAAGCTCTTTTGATCGACTAAGTAGCCCTAAAGCGCAGGTACTACCATTTGGAAAAGATGAGAGTACCTGAGGCTCAGAAAACAGAAACTATCATGAGACACTCAGCTGTCTTCCTACCACAGATGAAGAAACCGGAAGCCTCAGCTATACATGGAGGGAAAAAGAAATGGTTGGTTACAAATTCTTCTAAGTTCAGAAAAGAAAGAGACATTCAAATATTGACCTTTGAAAATTGGAATTCTTTCTTGGTTTTCTGTCCATAGTGACTGTTTATGAGTGTTGCCTGCACATAGGTCTGTATATTCAAAGCATCACATGTATTAACTCATTATTCATCACAGTAACCCTACTGAATAACAGCATTATCTCAATTTATAGATGGAGAGCAACATCAACTTGATGTCGATTGCAAAGCATCAGTAACAGAGCCAGGGGGAGTCTGGGCGTGAGTCACTGTGATCAATTTAATCTTCCCCCAAACCTACAGCCAACTTTCTGTCATAATGCTAAAGATTCAAAGTGTCCATTTCAAGCAATTATTTGATCCAGTTTTTCACCTGAGAGAATATGGTCATTGTGGACAATGAGGAGTGATTCTTTTCTTTGCAACCAATGACAACCTACACCTGGAAAGCAAAATCCATTACCCGGGTATTATGCCATCTCAGACAGAGTTTGGGACTAACCTTCTCAAATACTACCAGGAAGGGTAAGATATTCCAATACTCTTACTCTGAGCAAAAACAGAGATATACCAACAACATAAAAACATGGTGATGGGAATTAAATGAGATAATGTTTATTAAGTGCTTACCATTTCATATATAACAAATATAAATTCTAACTTCCTTCATTGTGTTCTAGATGCAAGGAACCAGGAGAGGGGAGGATGGTGTGTTAATAGATTAATGGGCCCAAAGAATCTTAAGAATCTCATGAAGCTGGACCCTGTGACAGGAACTGCTTCATACTACCCAGGGACCTATCAGAGTACTTGCAGAACATTTCCTAAATGGAATGATGACTGTGGCTTTTTCTCTGGTCACAGAGAATATCGAATGTGAGGTCTATTTTGTTTAAAGAGGCACATTTCCAATAATATGACGACTAAACCTCATGCCTACTACAATTTCTGTCCTCTATAGGCCTTCCCAAGACTGATAACCTTAGGGAAATGGAGGGAAGCCAACAATTTTTTTTGGAGACGTAACGTTTCTTGTTCCATATCTTCTCTTTCTTTCAAGCTTTTGTGTGAAGACTTAACTATTAGAAAACTGCTAAGCATTTACGGGAGACCAAGGGAAAAAGTGGTGCACTTATTAATCAAAATGAATGACATTTTCTATTCTACGCAGTATGAATTGGTAGTTGACATTAAGGAAAAAAGAATTTGCAAACTTGCGAATCCTGTGAAATTCAACCGTGTCCACCCCAAGGTCAGCCTTCTTGGAGCAAGCAGACTGGTTAGGACATCAAGATGACTAAGACTGAGGACCCTGTTGCTACCACCTGTGGAAGGGAAATCTGATGAGCACCTCTGAATGGATGCTGTCTCTGGATAGCAGCTGTTTCTGACAAAAACATAGTGGCATCTAAATAAATTGTTAACTAAGTATATAAACACAGCAGAGAAAGGAAAAAAAAGTAATGATTTCTGAAAAATGTTAATGGCTTTGTGTAAAAAACCATTCAAAAAATGTGAAAACTAAGATAACTGCTTTATTCCTAGTGCACATGGCAAATTTTCTCATATCACTGAAGAAATTCCACCATTTCCTAGATCCAGCTGAATACCAAGTGAGTGGGGGTGATTACCTCACTCTCCAAGTTACCAATAATAGATAATTCATAAGGCTTGCCATGGTTTGCCACCTCTCCAGTATTTTACTGGCATTATATAATTTCATTCTCATATCAAATCTGAATAGGAGATTCCTGTTTAAAAAGCTCAACGAGGTATAGTAATTTGCTCAAAGTCAGAGGATGCATTCATTTTGACTCCAAGCCTGTCTTTTTAATTTCTGCCTGCTATGGTATCCCATATACAGATAAAATTCATAATAAAAAAGTTAAGATCTAAATTTCTTCCCCTATTCATCTGCATTTTCTATTTGTGTTGAATTTCTTAGGGTTACATGGGTCTCTTCCATGCAGGGGCCAGACCATGTTTCCCAGTTAATTAGGGCATCAGAGCCAGTTCAGCTCAAACAGCAGACAGATCAGGAAAAGGTCGTAAAAATGAATGCTACACATTTTAATAAATACTGTTTAATAGACACTTAAATATTTTAACAAATACTGTTTAAATAAGAAAAGTTTCATAAGCGTAAAAAGCAACCCGACTTAATTGTCATAAATACATAAATCCCAGGAACACAAAATGAGACTAAGTTTTATAAGTTCAATATATACATCTGGGTTAAAGTTTCCCCAGGAACTCTCTATGTCTACAATTAACACTATATTCTAATAATGCAGATTTAATGTATTCCTTTCACAAGCACAGTTTTAAATATAAGGGCCTGTTTGCCTGTTTAGCATTTAAATTCCAAATTGTTTACAGTCCTGTAGGAATTCCTAGGTATCTACCCACATTTTACTTTCAACTTAATTCCACAGTATTCTATTCCTGCTAGTCTTTGTGAAGCTTGTGCCAAAGAACATGTTTTCTATAAACAGCAGTAAAAATGTATTCTTCTTATTTTATGCAAATGAATGTCATCCATACTTTTGGCTCACTCCAGGCTTATTTGAACTCTCGTTCATATTCATATTAGGCCCAATGTGAAACATGTATTTAATCATAAAGTCACTTAATAAGTAGACATTAATTTTATTATTTGTGTACACTATTAAAAAATAAAATCAGGATCATTAAGACTGCTAACACCTCAGAAGACTCTCAAACCTTTGAATTTTCCTGTCAGATTCTTAAGAACTTTGTTCCAAGTGTGATAAGTACAAATCGTTCTGACTGCCTTAAACTTCTACTGATTTATATGGAAGATGTGACTCAAATGCCATAAACAAGATTCATCTCTTGGCACAAGTTTCTTCTGATTTAGGGAAAGAAACAAATGCTGCCGAGTTTTGTTCAGTAAGGTATCTGCTGACGTGGGTGTAGGAGTGATTCTATTTATTCTGGAAACATGAGATAAAAAAATTACCTTTCAATGAAATGACTATCTCATCAATCATGTTAGCTAGGATAACACAAGATACTTGTTTTAAAATCTTGAACAGGCTACACAAAACTCTCCAAGTATTAAGAAATAAAATGTAATTTCTATGAATCAATATCCAGTACCCTTCAAACACTGGATAAATATTAGTAAAGGGGAAAACGAGGAAAGCTCTTCAGTGTAAGGTCCTAAATCTAATACTGACCTAGAGTTAATATTGAGTCTGCAGGTGTTAAGTGGATATGGAATCTTGAATGTTCACGGGAGTTCAGAGACCAGCTCTGGTTTGGTTCCAGACCCTTCATTTATCTTGACCTCACCCATTCTGTTAAATCAGAAAATGATGGGAAGTTGGTGTGTCTTATCTGTATGATGAGATCCATACAGACTCTAGTATTAATTAAGTTTTCTAAACGTGTGCTGTCCTTAGGATTCATTAACCATCCCTTTCATCCCTAATTTGACTGCCTCAGATCTTTTCTGAGGCATCCATCCTGGCTGCGAAACCTGTGTAATTCTTCAGTTAGCCCTTAATCCTGAGTCACAGCCAGCTCCACTGAAGAGTAAAGGGTGAGATTTGGTTTACAGCTCCTGAACCAACACAACAGAAACCATTAGAAAAACATAGTGCACTTTTCCTTCCTTTGTGTTCAGCAAATCTCAATGATCAATAGCTTCCTGTCTAACCTTTCTCAGGGTCTGAGCTTATTATGAAATTCGAGACCCAGAGTCCATCTGTTTTCTATTTTTAAAAGGGCCACCTTAACACAACTGCTGAAGCAAGCCCACATGCCCTGAAGCCCGAGCTCCACAAAAAGAAACACGACGACGACAACGGGAAGTCTGCGCACTGCAATTAGAGAGTAGCCCCTGCTCATCGCAACCAGAGAAAAGCCAGCACAGCAACGAAGACTCAGCACAGCTAAAAATAAAATAATTTAATCTGACTCAGTTCTAATGAGGTGGATAAACCTAGAGCCTATTACATAGAGTGAACTAAGTCAGAAAAAGAAAGATGAGTATTATCTACTAACGCATATATACGGAATCTAGAAAAACGGTACTGAAGAATTTTTTGCAGGGCAGCAATGGAGAAACAGACATGGAGAATAGACTTAAAGGAGAGATGCATGGAGAAAGTAACATGGAAACTTACATTACCATATATAAAACAGAAAGCCAATGGGAATTTGCTGTGTGTCTCAGTAAACTCAAACAGGGGCTCTGTATCAACCGAGAGGGGTGGATGGGGAGGGAGATGGGAGGGAGATTCAAAAGGGAGAGGATATATGTATACCTATGGCTGATTCATGTGAGGTTTGACAGAAAACAACAAAATTCTGTAAAGCAATTATCATTCAATTAAAAAATAAATAAATTTATAAAAAACAAATAAAATAATTAAAAACTTTAAAGCCACACATTAAAAATAACCCACATAAAACTGGAAATAAAATGTTGAACAAGGTATCTCATAAAAAAACTAAATAAAAGAAAGCTGGAGTATCTATCTAACATGAAGTTAGGATGGACTGCGAGAAATAAAGGAAAACACTTCAAAAGAATACAGGGTCAAAACAACAAAATTTTGTAAAGCAATTCTCCTTCAATTAAAAGATAAATTAA